GTCAAAAGTGCCAAAGTGGTAGCGACTTGCACATTTATCAAACTCAGCTACCAGTTTGGGATTTTCCAACCTTTCATCAAGTGAAATGCTCAACGAGCGCACAGTACAATACATATCTCACTGAACTTACTTTTGCCATCTCAGCTCTCTCCATATGGGTCAGGACCCGCTTCCTGTCCTAGGATGATAAAAGAAAATACATGTACATTTACAATCAGATCTGCAATATGTTAAAAGCCGAACGTATTTTAATACGGTGATCCATAGAGGACATCCTACATTTTTTTTTTATTAAATATAGCGCGATAATTATTCAGATATCGATTATCGCGCAATAATTAGTTAGTTTATCACGCGATAAACGATAAGTTTAAATTATCGCGCGATAATTCAAACTTATCACATGATAAAGAGAAGCTGGAAGTTGCACAAGGAGAGAGAGCTGGAGCTGTGGAGCTTTATCGAGATTGTTGCTCCTGCAGGGTATCCAGCGGCATGGTTGCTCAAAAAAATAGGAAACTCAGGATTGAGAAAATAGGAAAAATAGGAAACTTTGTATTCAAAAAAAAGGAGAAAAATAGGAAAATCAATAGTAGTTTCGTCGACAAAGATAGTCTCGCTGCACCCCATCAGGGTTATAATAAAGGCTACGAATTCTCAGCTTCTATGTTTGCAGGATTTAGATCAACTTTCGCGGCTTAGAAGGAGTGAAAATGATCAGTGACGTTTACCGTAAATCCTCTATTAAGCCATCCCTCTCAAATAAGCCCCCCCCCTTTTCAGAGGAGGAAAGTTAATAAGCCCCCCCCCCTTCCTCCAATCCTTATTCTTCACAAAAAAATTAACGATTAACGTGGACTGATCAGTTATGGTTTATTCATAAAAATTACCGAAGAACATGAGGCCGAAAGCACATTTTTGAAGAAAAAGAATTTTGTTTTTGCTACTTTTAGGCTCCCACAAGGGAATTAAACAAAAGCGACAACAAAAGCGAGCAAGACTTCAAAATAAAATATAACTTGCACAGATACTGAAATGCAGTTTCGGTGGGCTATGCACAATATTATCCAATAGTCATGAGAACTATAACACTACTTACAAAACATGTAGGTACACTAGAAAATTATACACAAAGTAACAATATAACAAAGTTGTTAACAGAACTCTATTAGGCAATAGAGGTCATGGAAAGAACGAATGTAATTATTGTTTTTGCGAATATTAGAACATCAAAGTCATTATACTACCTTCTTTATGATAAATCTCACTCTAAAGACACATACATCTAAAAATTCTAGTTTCAATTTTGTTACAAATTTTGGCTTCACCAGCTAAAAAATAGGAAAAATAGGAGGTTTTAGTTTAAAAATAGGACAAAATAGGAATAGACTAAAAAAATAGGAAAAAATAGGAACTGGACACCCTGCTCCTGTGGAAGAGGTTAAGGGACGAAAAGGAAGGAAAAGGTACCTCTTCTACCTCTCACCTTGAGCACCCACCATGTTGAAAGGTGAACTGGATATCACGTCTTCAAATTCCAGTTTCGAGATTTTAAATTGGATTAGATCTATGCATCTGAAGTAAAACCTTGAATCCGGCGTAATAACTTTGCATCCTGAGTAATAACTTTTGATCCGCAAAAATAACTTTAGATCCGCTTTGATAACTTTGAATCCAGGGTAATAACCTTGGATCTTGAGTAAAGACATTGGATCCGGAGTATTAACTTTGGATCCATAGCAAGAACTTTGGATCTCAGGAATAAAACGTTGGATCCAATTGAATAAAATAATGGAGTCGAGGAGCTATGCCGGATAATGAAATCCATGTTGGTTGGATACAAACTTTGGAACCAAAATATCAATCTTTATTTTATGGCACTTATTTTTACTTTGCTTAGAATGGCATTTACTTAGCTAATCTCCCTCCGCTGTTCCATTAAAAACGGTGTCTCGTGTCTGGTTTTATTGCGAGCGTTTATTAGTCGCGTGTTTAAATTGATCATTCCTATATATATATTTTTTGTGTATGTTTTTATAATAGTAAGTCAAGGGGCTTTCATTGTAGAGCCAATTTGTATGCAAATGTGGGCTTGTTAACACTTATAATCTATTGACTAACGCCAAGTAAAGAAGTATACTCACAGGATAAAGATGTCTCATGTACTTTATTGTTAAAAAACTAAGCAGTTGTTGCAAGGGATAACTCGAAGCGTTTCGCACGCACGTGCAGGAAACAAAGCGCTTAAAATGGCGCTTTTTGCTCTATTTTTGAGTAGCCGTGGCAGCGATTCAGCTTAACTTGTTGAATGAGTTTGTCAATCAAAGCAGCATAAGTAAGGTGGAACACATGTCTCATCTGGCTATCCTTTGACGCTAGACTTTTTCTATTTCAACAATCGTCAACAGAGGTGTAGCGCTCGATTCGACTTTCATGTTTGGAGAAATGTTTTAAAAAATATTGGTGATAGTAAGACTTTCTTCCTAGCAAACCGAACTTGCAAGAATAAAATGCTGAACGGAGAGCGCGCCTTTGTTACGAACACATAATAGATTCTACATCAACCAATCAGGGTTAAAAGAGACCGGGTAAATCTAGGCACGTCTATCGTTCCTATTGTATAAGAGAGGCGATCATTAGATATGGAGGAATGCACTTATTACGTATGGAGGAATGCAAATTTTTCCCAGGTTATAACAATGGGTGACGTCATAGACGCGACCCTTATGCATATTAATATAAGGAAAAGCACACGGAACGCAAAAGGAACGCACTAACAAGGCATTAAAACAACATAGTACACTACTGCTGTTTTCAGTTTTAATCCTAAGTACAAAGCGGCCTACCTCACATTTATCCGAGCTTTTGTCAATCGATAGTGAAGCTGTCTCTTGATCTGATTCGGCTGAAAGACAGAAATCACTGCTAAAGAACATACCTAGTATAAATGTACTGTTCAAAAAAATACTCACAGCAGGTTAAATTACTGTACTCAACATAAAAAAGTGAAAGTTACCCTCTACAAACATTCACCTGTTTTATTTGCTGGCATGTTTCTAATATCAAAGGTTCCCTTCTAGCAGAGGTCTCTCACGACGAGGCAAAAATGAGAGAAAGGAGAGAGAGTCTCTCTCCTTTCTCTCATTTTTGCCTCGTTGTGAGAGACCTCTGCTAGCAGGGAAAATCAAAGGCTGCGATTGAGAGGAAATTTGAGAATCCAAAGAATTCGGCTGAGAGCAATTATACACTGTAAACAAACCATTTTTAATGTTTCTTTGCCGTGAATTTTTATCGTAAGCCAACTACAGTCGACTCCCGATAACTCGAACCCTCGCTAACTCGAACCAAAATCGATTTCCCCTGGATTTCAGTCATACATTCGCTGAATTGAGAAAGCGCAAACACGAAAATAAAACGGGAGGAAACTGGGGAGAACAGGGGCAGCGAAGGCTCTCTCTCCTTTCCTTTTCCTTTTTCCTGTCCCGCCAACTTTTCGCGTGCCTTTTCTTTCACGTCTTCCCCCACTATCTGAGAGCCTGGAACAGGCTACCGCTAACTCGAACCAATTTTCGTTTCCCCTCAGGTTATTTTCTAGATAGTTTTACCCTCGATAATTCGAACCATGTTTTGAGCCCTTAAAAAGTCGGGAAAAAAGCCGTATACTGGCGTCCGAAACATTTAATTTTGGATTTCCTATTGACGTGTTGTAGGAGTATAGTTTACTAGTGGAAGCTGATGTTGATTGTCACAGGCTAACGTGAAGCAGCCTTTCTTCTCAAAACAGTAAAACGCATGCTCTATTTAGGCTGTCTTTTGTTACGTTACGTTCTGATTTATAATCTAGATTTTCACTTGACATTTCTACAATTAAATGTGATTAAAATGCTCACTGTGAAGTAAAAACTGTTTTTTTACCTTACTCTCGGCTATTTTCTTCGAACTCCCGATAACTCGAACCTTTTTTCGATTTCCCTTGAAAGTTCGAGTTATCGGGAGTCGACTGTAATTTCTCTTTCACTGTCAACCTCGTGGCCTTCTGTGAGCAAATTGTATTTTCAGGTCACTGATTCTAGCTTTCATTTGTTTTAGTTTAAATTGAAGTCAATTTCTTATAAAGAGCTTTCAGGCTTACATAATTTTTCCGTTAGAATCTCCTTACAAATCCGGTAGTTTTCTTCTTCAATAGTTGTCTCCAACCTGACATTCTCCAAGTTCAGCTTCTTCTTTATGTCATCAGTCACAAGGTGACTCTCAGCAATATCATTAAGGTGTCCAGACTGATAATCACTCCACAAACTTTCAAGACTCTCCAGAGAGGGGCACCGAAACGTTATTTCGAGAGATCCGACGCCCACAGATTTCAAGGCCAAGTTGTATGTATCCTGTATATGTTCTATCAGAGCAGACACTCCATCGGCTGTTGAAAGCCTACGATATTTTGTGTAAACTTGTATTTGTCTTATTAGAGTTTCATGGATTATTTCTTCCTGTTCATCACTAAGGTCCTGGTAACAGTGTCTGGTAAGAATTTCTGAAAGTAAAAGATAGCGATACTGAGAAGGCACGTGTTATCAAAATATAGGCAGTATCCTAATAACGTCTTCTTGCAACATTTTATTTTCTTGCCATAAAAACACCTATTAAAACGCTACACTAATTCGAGTAACATAACAGCTTTTTTGTTTCAATCACTCAGTCAATTTTTTCACTGCTTAAAATTAAACGGTAAACCCTCCTCAGTGTAAGAAAAGGTGCCTCCAGTCTGTAGCCTGAAAAAAACACCCCAACCTTCGCTCATGCACTACAAGACAGAAGCAGGAGAAAGCAAAATTGTCAATATTAATAATGTGTTCAGTTACGTATATACCTGGATAAGAGGAACGTCCTGAAATTTTACGCTTACGCCCACTTTGAGACTGAGATATTTCAGTTTGATCTCCTGCTGCAAAATGAGCTTTCTTTTCAGCACTTTTACCAGGAAAACTTTCTTCAATAAGTGGCTCTTTGATTCTCTGTTTGTTGCCATTTTCGGATGATCCTGTTGATTAGTTACAAAAATACTTTTATTTCGAGGGTACAAAGTTGAAAGTTCCTTTTCGCTGAAGAGAAAGTTAAGGGTTGTTCTAAAAAACAAAGGGAAGGAAAGGCAAGTGCTTTAGGATTAGCGCTGGACAGTGGACTGCCTACTTTGTATGTATTTCATCAGCTATACTTTTCATAATAGAACATTCACGCATAATACTTATTAATTTGCAGACAATTAGTACCTCGAATGGTCAAAGAAATAATTAGCTTTTTAGTCCCCAGCACCAAAGACTGAAAAATTCTATTCATTTGTATAACTTTATGTTGTAAAAGTACTATTAATGTTTACTATGAATGAATAAATGACACTATATTTCAAAAGGGTGCATAATTACAGACTGTAGTGCCCCTTATAGCCAACCACATAAAACTACATAACCATAACAGTGCTAAAATACTAAAATATAAAACCAATTTGTCCGAACTAATTGCTTGTGAGCTGAGAAAAACAAGTACACCTGAAATACTTCATGAAATTGATTGTGTAATGACCAATCAGTCGACCAATCACAATAATTATTGTTCATAACCTGGTACCCAGATCTGGGTACGAGATTAAATTGTTCAAGGAACCGACAAGCAAATGTCAAACCCACAAACTAGTTTCTCATTTTCTCAAGCCTAATTGGCTGTTTCCTTGCAACAGTCAATGGCGTTCAGTAAATATTTTTCATGTCCATACACTCTAGTTTTACGAGTTTTACAGCAGCACCTCTTACCATTGACCTTTTTCCACATTCTCTGCACAAACTCTTCGCATTGTTCCTTCCAACTGTACATCTCTCGATATGACGCTTTGAGTGCTTTAATCTCTTCAAGGCGCATTCGATGTCTGACACGAACAGCTTCTATTGATTCTGCCCATTTCGCAGGATCATCTAAAGAGACGATGCATGAATAACCATTAGGAACATTTTCTAATGCTTTGGCAATTCCCGACTTACTACCAACAAGAATAGGTAGGCCTGCAGACAAGGCTTCAAGTGCAACAAGACCAAATCCCTCGGATTTTGATGGCATTATTAGAAGGTCAGCTTCACACAGCAAATCTTTCAGTCTGTCTCTACTTTGTATAAATTTTCTAACAGTCAACTGTGCTTCTGCAATGCCATGCCGAAGAAGTTTTTGTCTAACCTCTTCTTGCTTTCCTTCAGGTGCTCCAACAAAGATTAGATGATAAGGTTTGTTTTTTAACCGTTGATCAGTAAATGCTTGAGCAGCAATGTTGTATCCTTTGAGTTCAAAGTCCTCATCATCCCCACGACCAAATAACAACACTTTGAATTCGCTATCCTCGTTAGGATCTTGTTTTGCAACTAAATCCCCAAACTCCCTTTGAAAAAGGCCTGGAGTAATGGTCAAAACGTCCCGATCAGCTGTCTTGCATCGCTGTAAATATGACGTGTAGGCTTCTTTCAGTCTGGGTCCAACAGGTACAACAAGATCAGCAAGTTTGCAAAGTTCAACTTCTGATTCGTGTTTTGTTTCACCTTTTGAAATGGGGTCTTGGCCAACAACGATGTCCATGAAGTGGTCCTGGGGTGGGATGCTCAACCAATCAAGACGATCATATGCTGCACGTTCTTTTGCCTCAACAATGGTGATTCCATAGCCACCAGCTTCTCTTACTTCTTCAGTGTTACAAGCTCCCTCTGGGACCAGCAAAGAAACCTTCACCGCTGAATGATTTGAAAGGTGAATAGCAAGCTCTCTGTTTATTGTTGACAACCCACCAGCAGATGAACCCCACTCACCACCAAGAAGAGTAACATGCAACACTGGATCACTGGTCTCAGAATAGCAAGCCTACAAAAACAATAACAATAAAAGTGAATAGTTAGGAGACACAAGACCAACAAACATAGCAGGTTTGGGGACTGTCAAGTGTTAGTACATAAATTGTAAACTAAGTTGATAGGGATAGAACAGCCAAATTTTCACTCCAATTTCCCACCACAGTAACACATACAGTTGTTATTACAGTGTCTTTAGAAACAAACAAAAACTAGGAATTAATTAGGCACATCAACAAATATATATAATGTTTTCAAATTTTATTATTAATCAAACAAACAAATGGCCCAAATGTAATGTCCACTGCATTCCTTATTTTCACCCAGGCACCAAAAGGACATGATCATACCATCACATGTAGTTTTCTGTTTTCTTGATGAAAGCAGTTTTTACACAGCATCTAGCAACTTTTAATGTTTATTTTTGGAACACATTACCAAATAATCATAAAGTTCTCTTCAAAGGCCATGAAATGACACTGTATAATTATAGTGTAACAGGAATAAAATATAGCTATTTGTAAAAAGAATAAAGAAAAAATAATGAACCTTTGGATTGTCCAGACTGCATTCTGCTTTCACAGTTTCAGGCTGATTGGATGAGGCAGCCATGGCTGATGAAAGGAAAAATAACAAATTAAAATGACTTTCCTGGTAGTAACAATTAGTCCTAATACTTGATGTATGTGTGACTTTCATCACAAAGTCAACCAATTTTTTTTTAATTCTGAACATTTGAGGTATAGCAGAATCTGGTTATCAATGCTTTCACAGTACAATCACGCTGCTGACCACACATTATCAGATAACACATGGCTCTCTGCTGTCAGTGCTGTAATTAAGCAGAGGTCGTTTTATCTTTTAATAATAAATTATATTAATTATCAAGACATAATAATTATCATCTCCATTATTTGTATTTAATGCACATTTTCTATGCAAACACTGCAACAATGTGCTTCAAAACTAATTAAATATAATCTAAGACCGTCCTTAACTTCTGCATTGTTTGATTCTTCTCTATGACAAAGACTTCCTCATATTGTGGTGGAAGCTGGTTGAAAAAAGTCATTTATTGAACACGATAAATCATCAAAATTTAAGATTGCTTCCCAGTTTCTTTCTGCCTCAAGTAACAGGTACAGGTACATTTGTATACAGCAAATGGAATTAATGGAATATGATATCTCTAGATTAGTCTTTTAATAAAAATAATCAGAGCAATCAAACAGGTCAGGATTTCCACCTGTTTTTTCTCTGGGAATTACTGAGTAAAACAGACCTCTTTTTAAAGAGAGGGGCAGAGAGGGGACGAGAGAGAGAGTGGAGGGGGGGTGGGTGGGGGGAGAAACCTTAGGCCATTTAAGTGTCTGACTTCAGTGTTCTCCTTATCAGGCAGTAACCAGTAAAATTTACCATCTGAAGCAACACTTCTTACCACCTGCAATGGCCTAAAGGTTTTCTAAAATTAAAGAAGTACTTTTAAAAAATACACAAGCTGTGATCTGATCCAATTACAGTGAAACCTGTATTAAGTGGACACCCTCGGGGAAAGCTGTAGTGTCCGCTTAATATAGGGTGTCCGCCTAATGCAGGTTTCAATAGATAACACCATATGAGGTGTCAAATGCCATTCAAATGAACAGTGGAAATGTTGAGAATACTCACAGAAACTATGACGACATGCGTTTGCATGAATTTCTTCATCAAAATGGACCAATTGATCATAGCACCTTAAACATAGATTGCAACTCAAATTTGAAGAAATCAGATGAGTGAAAAGAGCTCTATGCAAACAAAACGGAATAGAAAACAATACTGTACTGGGAAACTAATCAAATGAGTTCGTCAAGTCACGTTTTTTAATGTAAAAATCGAAAAATTTGTGGGTGACAATTCGAGGCAATCTTTAGCATTTCCGGTGTCTGGCATGTTGGGTGGTGGAATTTAATTACAAGTGTCCGTTTAATACAGGTTGGCAACAATAGAAATTACCATTTCAGGAACTTTTTAGGTGTCTGTGTCCGCTTAATAGAGGTGTCTGCTTAATAAAGGTTTCATTTAAAGTAAATCAGGGAAGTAAATTTGGGGACTTCGGCTACTGTCTGCTTAATAGAGGGTGTCCGCTTAATACAGGTTTCACTATATCACATGCCACAAGAAAATAAATGAATGTAATTGGACTTACTTAAGTATACAAAGCTTTTCTTTTTATGTGCCATGCATTTTGGAAAGAGAACATTGAAGACACTATTGAAATCAGTCGTTTTAATTTCTTGTGAAAAGGTAACAACGGCCAATTTAGGTAAAGTAGGTCTTATATTTAGGAAATGACATTTCAGAGAACTTAGCTCCTAAATTTCCCGGCAAGAGCGGGGCCACTTCCTACACTCCACTACCCGCCTGACCCCGGAAACGTACACCTCTGTGGTGCATATTTTTTGCCTTACTGGCTGTGAATGGTCCCTTACCTGCTGAGGAAAAATTTAGGAAGAACATTGAGACTTTGGTTGCATAATATCATTTTCATAATATCATAGGATTTAAAGTAACAATGACTGTACTGTATGTTTGTGCCTTTGCTGTGGTTTCCCTTTATACATGTATGTGGCTGCCAATATGGTAGAACAGGTAGAGGAGAATGAATATTAATTGCAAGGTCCCACAGCCTAGTTTCAATCATGGGTGCCTGAAGGCATGCTTACATAGAACCTTTTAAAAATTTAGAAGCTCCAAAATGCAATTTTTTTGAGGGTAACTGATGTCAATAAATACGATACTGTTGATAACTATTTTAAATTTAAATTTTTGTATAATATCATTTCCTGGATTTTCTGTAATGAAAAAGAGCTATTGAGTTAGGTTACTTACAGTTCCCCCAAGCTTCTTAATATCAGCAAAAACTGCCATAAGGCATACTAATAAACAGCAAAGAGTTGCCCATGTCCATAAGGCTGTGGAGTGCTGGTAACAAGCTGTAGGCCACAGTTGTTCAAAGGTCTGATAGAGTTTTACACCAAATCAATGCTACCATCCAGCAGATTAGCCTGAATTTCATCCGATTACTTTGAGTTGTTATTTATACTCCCACAGTAACATCTGAATCAACCTGCCATTATAATGCTGTCCAGTGACGTCACTACTCCTTTGCTTTGATTCATGCAAAAAGTAAAACACGATTTTCAAGTGGCAAACCAAGAAATATCATTTTGAAATGTCTACATGATACAGAACAGCTGACAGAATTGCTCTACTCTTTTCGATCATAATTTATGTTTAATGTTCAGACTATCAACTGCATGCAGTACTCTAAACCTGTTGTAATTCAAACTTAGTCGCAATCATGCGATCAAATAAATACACACAAGGAACACTGAGTTCAAAAACACAATAATTTCCTTTAATTGAAAAGAAGCTATTGGTCCTTAATGAAGAAAAAATAAAACAAGGAAACAAGAAAGAAAAGCTAACAAAATCATTACACTTGACAGTGAAATTAGCAAGAAGGTTGAATGACAACATGACATTGGTCTCAGAAACTTAGCATTAACAAAATCACTGTGGCAACAACAAAGCGGCTCTAAATGAAAAACCTACCAACCCTCCACAATGATTCTTCATTTGCAGTTTAGCAATTCAGTTTCGAAGACAAGGGGAATTTTGCTGTTTACAATAAAGAATGATTATTGAAATGTTTGAACTCCATGCAAGCATGCCACCAATGCAATCCCCTGAATATCAATTGACAATCCCACAAAAATTTCCCATAATTATACATAATTATGCAAATGTTTAGACAATCAACCAGTCAAAATCACTTAGAACCCGGTTTTTGGGTAGTGGTGACGTCACTGGACGGCATTAGTGGCTAGTCGATTCAGACATTGCTGAGAGGAGAAAACTGACAACTCAAAGCAATCAAATGAAATTCAGGCTGACATTAGATATGTTTTAAGGAAAAAGGGGTGGGTGTTCAAAAGGTTGATTCATACACTTATATACTTTATAATATACATGAAAAAATTTCTAGATTGTGATTGGCTAAGAGAAATGCAGTTTTTAGGTAACACGGTGCAGAAAAAAGGTAATTTAGTGCAGAAAAGAGTAACAAACATGATTGGCTAATAAACAAAGGAACTCACTGGGAGCCAATCAAATGCGCCATGTAAATGGCGCAAAATTTGGATCTGCACCGGACCAGTTTCGAGTTGAAAACCGCAATGGTTGGCGTTTGCAGCACATTTTACTTTTGCGACTGAAACAACTGTAGAGGAGCTGAAAAACTGCTCTAAAAACGAAAACACTGTGAAAAGCACTGGTTTTTGGCTCTCTGTTTGGAAGAATTGGTGTGTAGATAAGGAAATTACTGATGAAATAGAAAATTATGAGACAGCTAAGCTTAACACTTTGTTCGAGCATTTCTATGCCGAAATAAAAAGGTGAAGATTATGAACCAGAAAGCCTTAAAGTAATGATGGCATCGCTCGATAGACACTTAAAGAACAAAGGCTGCACCCTGTCCTTTGTACGTGACCGAGAATTTAGTTCGTCCAAAGAGGTGTTAGAGGACAAAGCGAAACACCTTCACTTGGTTGGCCGTGGTAAGCACCCAAACAAAGCTCGGAAAGTATGAGAGAGGGAAGAAGAAATTCTCTGGAAGAGTGGAAAACTCGAGGTAATAACCCAGAATCTTTAATTCAAACAACATTGAACAATTCCATGAACTGTTCAGCCCATTTCAGCAGCTTGCAAACTTTAAAAACATTGAGCAAAATGTTGTTTTGACTGCACTTGTGATGATATATTCAAGTTTGCGGCACTTGAATAAAGCTATCTTGCAATTTTTTCATGAATATTATTAATAAGTAATCACATGATTTTTCTCTTGCAATTTGGAATAAATGATCACTTGTAAATTTTTTCAAAGACCCCAAATTGCACTCGCCCTATGGGCTCGTGCGATTTTGTTAGCCTTTGAAAAAATTTACTCGTGCTTATTAATTCCAAATTGCACTCGAAATCATGTGATTACCTGTACTTACAAGATGTAACCACCACACACCTCTCTTTCCATGTGTGCAGATATTGTCCCATTATTGTTTACTGCAAGCAGCAGTTGTTCAAAAGGTGGATAACGCTATATCCATCCAGACAAAACATAATCCAATGGATAGTGCAATTAGTTTTCCTAATACTTGTCCATTCAATGTAGTGAATAGCATAGTAATCCATCTTTTGAACAACCAGGAGTAGTTGTGCAGTACATGAGTTACAATGATGGTAGGCAAGTTGACGTGTACATGTTGACAAATAATAATTATTAGGAAGTACCAATTGCCTCCTCTGAATGAATTGATCTTTTACTAAAAGAATTCACCAGCTGGGTTTAATTGTCTTTTTAAATGAACATACTGAACCAAGGACTGTCACCTCCAGGCCCCAGCCCCCGTACCCACCTTCGCCATACTCTTTGGGAAATGAAAGACAATTAGAGAAACAAATGAAAATTTTGGAGCTGAAAAAAGTTAATAAAAGAATCCACCAACCAAGAAAGAAATGTTTGATTATCCAAACTTATGGCATTAGACATTACATGAAAAAACTTTTCAATA